ACAGGGAGGTGGGGGGTCCCCAGCCCCACCATCCTGCTTCCCAGCTCCCTGCAGCCATCTTATCAGAGAATCACAGACTGGTTTGGGTGGGAAAGGACCTTAAAGACCACCCAGTCCCACCCCCTGCCATGGGCAGGGACACCTTCCACCAGACCAGGTTGCTCCAAGCCTTATCCAGCCTGGCCTTGGACACTCCCAGGGATGAGGCATCCACAGCTTCTCTGAGCAATAGGTCCCAGAGCCTCCCCACCCTCTGCGGGAAGAATTCCTTCCTGATGTCCCATCTCAATCTCCCTCTTTCCATTTAAACCCATTAGCCCTTGTCCTGTCACTCCCTGCCCTTGGGAAAAGTCCCCCTCCACTTCCCTGGCAGGGATGGGAGAAGCCTTGCTCCCACCCCACCCCATGCCCTCAGCTGGGCACAGCAGAGCAGCAACCCCAGCTCCGGGCAGCCCTGGTGCAGCTCCACACTCTGGGCGCTGAAATAGCTTTGGAAGGTGTTTTTTAGGCAGTGACACATCCCTGCCCCCAGCAGGGCACGTACACGGGTTCCTTTTGGCTTTGCCCGTCCAGACCCACAGCATCCACAAAAACAGCTGCTGTGGGGAGGGCAGGGAATGCTGCGGAGACACAGCCACAGCTCCTCGGGCTCTGTGCCGGAAGATTTCCCTGAGTCTCTGCCTGCACAGCAGGAACCTCACCCAGGTTATCCTGGGGATGAGTTTGGGTGTCCTCCCCGATCACCCCCTCACCGCAGGTCTGAGCCTGCCCCTGTGCCCAGGGCGCTGCAGGGGAGCGCTTTAACTGAAGCCATGCACTTCATTTCAACGTTCGGGGTTGGGTTCTTTTTTTAATCGCATAATTACTGCAGACATTTCTGCTCATGTTGGGTTTTATTACATCTTTGTGGTTATTCTACAAGCCCTAAATTTTGGGCCTCAACTGAGCTGGCAAAGCTCTCCGAAAACATCTGTCCCAAGTTACTCCCCTTCCAGCGCTCCGGCAGATGATGTTGCAACCCAGAGTTTTATTTGCAAGCGGAAAAAGGTCTTATTTCTGACCCAAACAGAAGTATAAATATTTACTGCCCGGATCTCAGTGCTGGTCCCACACCTGAGGGTCCCCACAGGCACCCAGGCACTCGCCCATCCTCCTCCGGAAAGCAGCACGTCTGTCCCCGGGCACTTCAGCTCCTCACGCGAGGCACAGGGACCCGACACATGCCCGCTATCGTGACAGAGCCGGCCACGATCCCCCGTGTTGGTGGAGGGACACCCATTCTCCGGGTGTCTGCAGTTCTTGCCAGCAGCAACACCAAGGTGACACTGTCCCTCTCCAAGCAGGAGCCAATTAACACCCAGTCGCTAATTCTCCTACATTAAAATTCCCAGCCTCAACAGGCTGCTTGAATCCAGCAGCTACAAGACACGGATTTGTTTTCCAGGAGATAAATCCTGGGCGTAAAGGTCCCTTTGCACAGCCGCAGTCATGCTTCGGTGTGACGGGGAGGAACGGCATCACCCCCAACACATCTCGGTGGCTTGACCGTTCTTGTTGCTCCTACAAACACAGCTGGAGAAAGCGGCACACCCCAAGGACACCGACAATGCGGCTCGGG